CAGCCGATGGTGGTGGAGCCGTTTGCGGCTGCCGCTACCGTTCGTCGCGGTAGGGCCACCGCTTCAACGTTACCGCGACCATCTTGACCGTCGGTTTGTCGCAATTCGGGCAACACACTGTCAAATAACCACAGTTTAAACTCTTTGGCCGCATTCAATTTAGATTTCGTTATCAAGGTATGTACACCCGCCTCTCGGATAAACACGGTATTTGGTTGCCACCGCGCCGGTGATTTGGAATCGGGGTAGGTTGGGGGCGTTGTTGTAGCGATGGTTCCCAGACAGCCCGGTTCCAAACTTGCCTTGATTTCACCCCAATTCTTTCTCCAATGCGGTTTAATGTGTTGTAACGCGTTGCGTGGTTTAGTGTAACCCAACAAGTGTATAATAGACTGGGCACAGTATAAAAAAGTATTGTCCTCTGCTTGTTTGGCTATCCAAACATCTGCATTTACACCGCCAATAGTACATTTTCTATGGAAGAGAGACATTTTAAATTATTTTATATGCGTGCGTTACGAAAACGTGGACAGCGTGCAATGAATCGATCGGCCGTGTGTATTGCTATATAAACCATAACCCATAATGTTTAATTATCACATGTTACCGATGATAACCCCAAAGGGTATCAATTCGAGACCCTACAACGGTAGTACCAATAACGTTTAACAAGTCGGGCGATCATTAATTTGCACGACATTGCCTGCGGCGAGAAAACACTACTACGCTCGCCTAAACCTTTGCATCGGCGTGACAATTGGCGCTCATAGTTGCGTATAGTACCCACATGGATTTATATACTCTACGTTTTGGAGACTGTTGTAGCGCGAGTATTCTTTTTTTCTCATACATCTTCATCTCACGGTGGTCCACGAGAGACTGGGAAAATTTGATCATCTCCATCATTTTTCGTTATCTAGTATGGGGTCGGAGGTCGTAACTATATAAAGAGATGCAGTCTCGCGCGCGAGCTTCTTTTACTTAAACATTTCACATTGTCCAGAAGTAAAAGAGGAGCAGGGAGATGACGCTGTGAAATATGGGGGGGGCTGGTCCCCGCTTGGCCAAAAAATGCGTTTTGTTGAGCACTTGTGTTCCAAATGTGCTCCACATTTGAATTATTTTCTGATATTTATTTTTAAATTTAAATTGAATTTACTCGGCCTCTAGAGTCAAATCACTGGCTTGAAAACTCCAAGAGTCGGTGTAAAACCAATTTGGAGCCAATTTGGTCGACTTGAACATGTATGCAAATTAAATCTATTTACCCAGTCTCTCGAATAGACTTGGTGGTGACCCGTTTGTACACTAAAATGATTATATTTATACATTTTTTATTTTTTTTCAGCCTCTAACCGAGAGTCTTGGCTTGAAAACGACAAGTGTCGGTGTAAAACTAAAAAATATACTTGGATTTTTTTCATACGTCTTCATCTCACGGTGGTCCACGAGAGACTGGGAAAATTTGATCATCCCCACCATTTTTCGTTATCTAGTATGGGGTCGGAGGTCGTAACTATATAAAGAGATGCAGTCTCGCGCGCGAGCTTCTTTTACTTAAATATTTCACATTGTCCAGAAGTAAAAGAGGAGCAGGGAGCTGACGCTGTGAAATATGGGGGGGCTGGGCTCCCGCTTGGCCCAAAAATCGCTTTTGGCGCAGTGTTGGTTCCAAATTGGCTCCACATTTGAATTATTTTCTGTTATTTATTTAAATTTAAATTGAATTTACTCGGCCTCTAGAGTCAAATCACTGGCTTGAAAACACCAAGTGCCGGTGTAAAACCAATTTGGAGCACAAAATGTATATCGTAAAAATTAAATTGAATTTACTCGGCCTCTAGAGTCTACTCGTTGGCTTGAAAACGCCAAGAGTCGGTGTAAAACCAATTTGGAGCACAGGTGGTCAACTGGCGAGGACGCGTCATTGTAGAAATCAGAATTATTTTCTTTACCCAGCCTCCGATCGAGAGCCGTTGGCTTGAAAACGACAAGTGTCGGTGTAAAACCAATTTGGAGCCAATATGGTCAACTTGAAATGTATAGCATAGTAAATTAAATTTAATTTTTTTACCCAGTCTTTAGATTCGAGTCTTGGCTTGAAAACGGCAAGTGTCGGTGTAAAACCAATTTGGGAACCAAGGTGGTGATGATGGTGGTGTGGAGTAAAAGTGACAAGAAAAAAACAATTTGGAGCCGATACTGTTCAGTTTTGATAGTCGAACGTTATACTCGCGTAATTGTCGTCTGTTTGGCCAAAATGTTTAACAGCCTATAGAGCTTTTTTATTTATAGTATACCCCGGATTCGAGATGGAATATACAACTATACGAGATTGTACTCGGGTTAGTAGATCGTCTTGGGTGGGCAAAATTATCGACTCGAGACGATCCAAGTTGGTTTGAATGTCTACCGTGTTGTGACCGCGAGTCTGTACGTTGCGCGACGACAGGGCTACATTGCCCGCAAACAGGGCCATGTCCATAGAAAGTTTCCACAACTTGTCGTCAATATCGCCCATTGCCGGGAGATTCTTGAACGTGCGGCGCCACTTTAACGCTTCTACGCGAGCTCTTAGTTGTCGTTTCTGAACCAATCTAATTTTTTTAAAGGCGGCAAAGAGGGCCTGCATTTTTACCAATTTTATAATCAACCTTAAATGGTTCAATTCTCCCGAGCGCCTATACCATGCCACCAAACCGTGCGCGGGACGAAAATGCTGAACAATTTGGCCCATTTGGGCGGCCAAACATGCACTTTTTACCCCATCGTCGCTACAAAACCGCGGCAAATACAATATAGACTTGAAGTTGGAAACAATTTTCGATATTTCGAGTGCGCGGCGCGTAATAACTGGGCACGGTTGGACGATTAAATTATACCACAACATGTAGTACCATTCCTCCGTGTGTGTATACACCAATTCCCCTATACGAGCCAACGGTATGCCAAACAATAGCCCGGTGAGGACAATGAGAATCTCTATTCCGGGCAGAGCAGACGGGTGGGTGCGCGTAATTTGAATTAATCTATTACATTCCACCGAAAATTTCTCCCGACCACCAGCTGCTGCTGCCGCCGCCGCCGCCGCCGCCGCCCCATTTCGCTCGGTAAACTGCAGAGTGTTGTACTCGGCTAGTGTTTTTTGGAAAGCAATCGTGTACCGCCCGCATCTAAGTACCGGCTTGAATCGCCACGATTTATAAATCACAAAGCGATCCGGTTGTGGACCAACGGAACCGTTGTATAGGTACACCAACGTGTGCACATGGTCCACAATCATTGTGGAGGTGGTGGTGGTGGTGGTGGTGGTGGTGATGATGGGGGTGTGGTTGACGGCGACTACCGCCATTAAAATCTTATATACAACATGAGCCAAAGAAGAGACAATTTTATTGTTGACTTATTTCAAAAAAAAACAAGTAATAATTACAAAAAAACATTCAAAACTTGGAGTGTGTGTGTGTGTGTGTGTGTGTGTGTGTGTGTGTGTGTGTGTGTGTGTGTGTGTGTGTGTGTGTGTGTGCAGCAGCAGCTCGTCTCACATTTGAGTCTCGTCCGGGTCATCGGAGTCGCACGACGGTGGCCGGAATGGCAATTTAAACTCGGTCATAATATAATGAGTCGGGTTGTTTGCATCCTTTTTAACACAAAACGCCCGAGTGTACTGCGCTCGGCATACCGCACATTGCATTTCTCCCGTAGTTTTGACACTGTTCACTATGCACCTTTTACAAAAACGATGAGGACACCCGTTCAAGTGGCAACATCTTCGACCACTGTAATAATCCAAACAGATTGAACACTGTACGGTGCTTGTGTACAACGACTCGAAAGGATTTACATTTTGAAAAAATTGCGCAAACAATCTAGGGTGCGGCGGTGAGTCCGTGTACTTGGAGAGCTCTTCCAAAGCACGATTTATACGATTCGTGTCCGCGTTCAACATGTGCAGCAGTTTTTCGTTTCTTTTGGCGCGCATCTTCAACTTGCATTTCATATCACTGGCCAGTTTGTATTTTCGTATGTTTGCTATATGCATTTTAAGAAAATTTACAGTTTCCCCATATTCACCAAAGTCTATATCATCACCGCTCGAAGAACCAGCACGGGCCGCGCCGCCGACACCATTGTCGCCCAAGTCGATATTTATTGGCGGGAATAAATACGAGAAGGAGTCATCCGCCGTAGAGTACGGGACCGTGTCCTCGGTCTCGGGCTCATAGACGGGACTGTAGTTTGGCTCGGCGGTCATCGTTACACTGATACGATCAAGTGCATCGTGCCACGGTATTATATAGCAATACACGAGGCTTAAAAAAATCATAGCACTCGAGTGTCATCTTCAGGAAAAAAATATCACACGAGTGCCATCTTGGCCGTATTCAATCAGTACCCATACTCAGGGTCTTGCGTAATTGGACCCAATTACGCGATATTTACGCCAAATACTCGTAAATTGTCGCGAGCACGACAAATACATAGTGGATAATGTTGCGTAATTTGTGCGTAATTGGGTCCATTTACGCACCACATTTGAACCAGATTGGTTTTTGGGGACCGAGTTGTCGAGTATACCTGTTGTATGTACGATAATGAACGCCCTCGAAAAAGTACACAGAGCCTTTGTGCAACACGCCGCCCTTTTGAATGGTATACTCTTCTAGGCCGGGGAATATAGACGACCGGGGACCGCTCGGTATTGACAAGTGCATATCGGTGCCGTTCACCACCCAAAAGGTGGTACTCCAACAATATGGGTTCGAGGATGCCCAGGTCACTTAGACTTTTCGGATAAACAGCCTGCAGGATCGATTTGCTATACAGCCACAATTTATCGGTGGTTAAAAACAAGACGGTATCGCCGACAGCCGCCCCGTGGTCGTCGAATCCTTGTATGGCACCGCGCACCACACCCTCCAATCCGGGCCACCTTACTCGTCTATCATCAATAAATCGTCCACTTTTAATTTTTTTCATCAAATCTCCTCGAAACAAAATCAATTGTCCATTAATCTCCCCACCACCGAATCGTAGTCGGCGCATAAGCCATCTTTGTTTGTGGTGGTGGCGGCGGCGACTGTAGCCATGCGTTGGTCGCGCTTGGTGGGAGTTAGGGAGATAATGTCAAAGATGCTGATACTCAGTTCGGGTTCGTGGGTGGTTTGTATTGTGGGGGGGGGGCTGTGGTGGCAAAACGTCAAAGCTGCTTTTACTCGGTTCGGGTTCGTGGGTGGGGCGATGGCTTTGTACAATAGTTCAACATCTTGTCTCGCCCAGTGTTTCCAGTTTGCCGGGAGGAATTCAATGTCTCGGTAATACGGATACATTATCGACCAGCGATTGTAGTCGTGACTCAGACCTAGCGAGTGGCCAAATTCGTGAAGAGCGGTTACATACAAATTTGTTGTTTCCAACTCGGGTTGTCTGTTACTTTGCATTTTGGCCGACCACACTTCGGTATCGTCAAAGTGTATGGCTCCGCCCATTTCCGGGCAAAAGGCGTGTGCAATTACAGACCTCATACTGTTGAAATTTTTATATCGGGCTCGACGGTCGGCAAAGCTTCCGTGATAGTCAACGCTGGCCACACCACTTGATTCCACTCTTCGACCACCTTTCACAACACGTCCAGTGTGTCTTCGAGAGACAGTGATTTGGAGGTATGTTCGCGCGACAAACCCCACGTTATGTTTCGACGCTCCCATCGTTCGTTATACGAGCACGCCGTTGTAGTGGGATACTTTGCAATCGTGAGACATAATAAAATCATTATATTAAACATGATTGGTTTTTACTCTTATATTCAAACCGTTTATGGTATACCACGGTATAATTATTACCAAATTGGCGGAGACAGGGGTCTGGGGTAAAGTAGCGACAAATTTGAATTATTTTCTGATTTTTATTTAAATTTTAATTTACTCGGCCTCTCGAGTCAAATCCCGGGCTTGAAAACGCCAAGAGTCTGTGTAAAACTAATTTGATGGTAAATTAAAATGTATAATGTGTCTTGTTTAAAATTTTATTTTTTTATTCTTTTTTTCTCATACGTCTTCATCTCACGGTGGTCCACGAGAGACTGGGAAAATTTGATCATCCCCCACCATTTTTCGTTATCTAGTATGGGGTCGGAGGTCGTAACTATATAAAGAGATGTAGTCTCGCGCGCGAGCTTCTTTTACTTTAATATTTCACGTTGTCCAGAAGTAAAAGAGGAGCAGGGAGATGACGCCGTGAAATATGGGGGGCTGGGCTCCCGCTTGGCCAAAAAAATCGCTTTTGGCGCAGTGTTGGGTCCAAATGTGCTCCACATTTGAATTATTTAAATTAAATTTTAAATTTAAATTGAATTTACTCGGCCTCTCGAGTCAAATCCCTGGCTTGAAAACGCCCAGAGTCGGTGTAAAACCAATTTGGAGCCAATTTGGTCAGCTCGAGACATGTAGGGTCGGTCTTTAAAAAATTAAATTTTATACCCAACCTCCAACCGAGAGTCGTGGGTTTGAAACCTGCAAGTGTCGGTGTAAAACCAATTTAGTGCACATGTGGTCACACGAGTAGGACCAAATTCTGCATGCGTGTATTCAGTTTTGGGAATCAATTTAGCGGCAATCTTTTAGATAAAATCAAGAGATTGGGGATAGGGGTATTTTGAAAAAAAAAGACTTAAATAAGATGGGTAATTCTAGTGCAAAAAATAATGACTCGGACAATGCCGTCGAGGCTGGTCCTCTCACATTCAATCCCTCCGGTGTAGGACTCGATAATCACTATATTAATATTTGGAAGGGAGCTTTATCCGATTTACTTTTGATAGTTGGCAGTTTGTCTAATGTGCGAGGCACGCAATCTATATTTTCATTTATTGTAATACTGGACCAGGTTCCGTCAGAGGACGAGTACGCCTCTTTAGTAAAGCTGTGTTCTCAAAACAAACACGTCTTGTATAAAGTACCCAAATTGTCGTATGTATATGTCATTTCACGGGCCGTCCTTGATGTTACAGAACAAGTCGTCAGATTTTCCTTACGAACCAGCGGGGCTACCGATAATATGGAGCATTGTGTAATTCTAACAGAAAAAACTCTAGTTTCGGTCGACGAGGCCGTGTCAATCAGTAAAGGGCGCCTACTATCGGCCATTGTAAATTCGACATCTGGGCAAATATTGTACACGGTTCCCTCACCAGACGTTTCCGTGTTGAGCTCTTTTAAAATGTTTACCAACTTTGAGGCGTTTAATTGTATAATGCTCTATCCGTTTACAGTGTTCCCATCGGCGTCCAACGTAAAACCCGATTATTATTACTGTATGGCCTATCGTTTAAATCCCGACGATCTGAACGGATTTATAAAATTGACTAATAGCGCGGCAAAGGCTTTAAATACCACGGGGACGTCTTTAATCATCAGCATAAGTGGTTGGTCAAATAAAAATTTAGAAGAGTACGCTTACGCCTATATGAAGTACATGTGCGAGGCGTTAAATTTAAACTTTAACAAATATCAATATGGGAATTTTATATATGTCTATAATAGAATAGATTACAAAAACGGCACGTTGACTGTGCCGGGTATGACCATTTCATTTATAACTACCAACTCTCCCGACTTATTGACTTTTAACGTTTACACCGGCAGTTTAGAATCAAAATCGTTGGTTAGTGGTATAGTAACAAGCACCGTTTTGTACACAATAACCATTTCAAACGCTTCCGGTAGCACCGTGTACACATGGAATCGTACCAACGGCTATGTTTTCGATAGCACCAAATCCGGAAACATGACAGTCACTTTTACCACCATCAATGATAAATTGGATGCATTAAAATATGCGTATGGTTTGCCTCAGAATAATCCCACGGCTGTTCTATTTGACAATTGGGTGAGTCTGTTTTCCAATGTAGACGTTATTGAAATATTGAAAACGCAAACTCGTTATAAAACATTCACCACTGTCGACGGTAAGGTGGGTGGCTTTGTTCATTCCGATATAGAGACAGTTTCGTCCACTAACGAAAATGCTCTGCGTATAGACGGCGCCACGGTACACATAACTCGACCCAAAACCTATACAAATACCGATTTGGCCGTACTTGAAAGACCCAAATTTAATACATGCGCGTCCAACTATGTAACATATTATAACAACGAAGCGTGTTTTAAAAATAGTAAAAAGGCCGAAAACTGTACAGTGGTCATCAATAACCCAGTCAGTTATTCGTCGGAGCTGGCCACGTTTGGTAGAGAGGTGTTGGTGTTGGTGCGAAAGGCCACCATCACAGATGTGATTGATGCGTTCGATTACATTAGACGGTTTCCCTTATACAAAATGATATTTGTATTTACAGCAACCACGGATGCCGATACTGACGTTTTAACGGCTACCGATTTAACGTTAAATGTACTAGTCGTCAACCTCAACCAGCACAAATACACCTATACCCAATCAACGTATCGCGATTATCGATATGCAGTCTTGACCCCCATTTCGGGCACTAAAAACACATTATTGCCCAACGATTCGGACAGCGGTCTGGTGTTTAAATATAATGATCGTGCATTATTTGGTCTGTCTAAAGAAAAGACATTACTTGACCATAGTACGGGTATTATCAACACTAAAGTGGACACTGATATGGCACCAATTGTATCTGTAATGTATGCAGATTTTGTCAAGTCTACTGATGAGTTTATCTTGCCGCCAGACGTTACGGCCACCGCGGTAGAATACCTGTATCAACGATTCAGCGAGTTTATAACATTGGAAGATAATACTAAACAAAACAATAGGGTTTTGGATCGAAGGCGCGTTCAATTGTTCTCAATTTACTCATCCGAGGTTAACATTACTCTCAATGGGCGAATTTTTGAATATTTACGAAAGAAAAATAATGGCATGATTTGCAATTACACCAATCAAACCTCTCTACTCTCTATAAATAAACTAATAACCGCCATAGACACGTTATTGGCCAATTTCAAGCGATTCCAATTTGCATTGGTGTTTCTGCTCGAAATGGAATCGTCCAATTTGGCTCTGCAGGCATTGCCTCTAAATAGCATGTTCAAAGTGACCAAATACACGCCAACTGACGACGAAAGCATCACCTATGTCGTGCTTGCAACAGACAACATCAAGGTCACCAACAAAACTATCGGTCTAGAACTCGAATCGACATTGTCGGCAGATGTGTTTAGAATTGCTCCAACCTTGGACAAAACTATCAAACAAGAGGATGCCAATATCGTACAAATGGCACGCTATTCAAAATCGGTAGGGGGTAAACGACAAGATATAGTGTCAGTACCGGTGGGTTTCCGGCACACCTTTATCGAGGAACCTCTTGTAAACGGTTTCCAAGGCCATGTTTGTCTTATCGAACGCTCTTACGACTTGGTTTTTGAGGAGGTGCCCCAAACTTTTGCCGGGCATCCGGTATACTATAACAATATGGATTTGGAATCCCTGTACATGTTTATTCAATACATTAAAATCAAATTAGAGTCGAATAAAAATTACCAATTTACATGTATAGTCAAGTTGGTGCCGAAACGATTGGGTTCGGACGATGCCGACCACTCGTCCTCAATAGTGTACATTCTAAATACAAAAACGTGGGGTATACCGCAGACGTGCACAATTTTCCAATTTGCCGAATACGACAACGTGTGTGTTTTTACCACAGAGGTCTCCAGTCAGGCGTTCAAGGATGGTTTCGAGTTGACGGCCACCAATAGAAGATTTGTATTCACGACCGCAATAGAGGACAGGACCACCGTTCAACTATCATCGGTTGCCTATTCCAATTATACTGCCAAGAAAATACCCATTTGTATTACCAACATGGCCTTGTCCAAAGAGGCCCCCATTACGGCCAGCCAATATCTCATAACTAACACGCGGTGGTACAAATTTCACAAAACATACCCTGAACCCACGGCGCCTAGTATACCAGAAGTCGTTGACTACACACTAAACTCTATCAATTTGGTGACCAACATCAGCGATCCCGTCTTGGATGTAAATTATGACCATCAATTGAGAACTTCTTGGGCCCCTCGAATGTGTATATTTTTAACGTCAGACCCCATGCACATAAATACCTTGATACAATACTTTTGCAACAACGCCGAAGAACACAAAACCACCATGTTTGTACTTGGACCCATCGCGAATGGTTGGCACAATTTGATCAAATTCCCACCCCAACCCACCACACTCGCGCCGCGCTTCATCTTTTCCGACAGCCTAACACCCCGGACGCCGAGCCTCTTGTTCATAACCGGCGCGTACTGCAGCGGCTTGGTCGTCAACGACGTCGGCGTCTTTGTGAATAGACCGTTTTCCTTTCAGATGGCCGCATCTTTCCCGAAAGCCACCATGGTTGCCGGCTACGATGTTGTCATGGGCACCACTAACGATTGTTCACTACCCAGCCAAGCGGGTTATTGTAGCCGTTTCAACAGACGCGTGTCGACATTCAGGGCCGACCTCATTAAATACCCGCTCGAGTCCGATACGGTAGTGTACAATTTGAGTAACAATTGGGCCAAATACGGGCACGCCGCGAGCCTAAACGGTGTAGAAAATTACTCGTTTCTAACACACAGTTCGCCTTTTGTCTACTTTATGAATCCCGAGAACATAGCTCCCGCGGCCAAAGATAGGGCGTATATATTTCTATGGACCAGTCTCGACCTAG